TGTAGTGTATGTGAGCTAAAGAGATAATTCCTTGAGGGCCAAGTGGCGTTCCTCGTCCAGCGACCTCTGTGGCAAATTCCTTCTGTTCATCGCCTCAGAGGGTCCGCTAATGAGGGAAGCATGTGACGAGGCCCACCCCGTTCACTCGATCAGCTTGCAAGGGAACCCCAACAGGTCGATCCGGCCATTTGCAATGAAATGAATATAGATGGACATGTCTTGGGCCGCTGAACTCAAATCTGCCCTCAGAATTTGCGGGACGATTCCTTGAGGGAGTTACGGAACATTTATTCTCCGCTCTGTTCGCACAAGTTCGGAAGGATAACCGAATGAGCCGAGCGGCTACTGGTTGTACTGGATAAGCATATTGCTCCAGGGGAAGAAAGTCACACATTGGAAATCTCGGCACTTGCCAATGTTTGCTTTTGTTTAAAATATATAGCATATGAGCCTCGAAAACAATTCTATTTAGCTAATTTCCCCAGATTCTCAATCATTTGACAACAGGAAATGCAACTTCCTATTTCAGGTTCCTTTGAAGAACTTTTATGATGGCGATGCGAACAGAGCAAAGAAAAAATGGCCCTCCCTTCAGAGAATCGTTCTGGAAATTTCGAGGGCAGATTTAGCTGCTTATGACACGTCCGTCTATGTGCATCTCATTGCAAACAGCCGGACTGATCTGTTGGCGTTCCCTTGTTAGACATCATCTTTGGAAGAGCCATTTTTCAAGTCTTCTCTGCGCGCCCTGAAAAATACCATCACAGTACCTTTAACAGTTGCTTCGTTCACCATGCCTTGGATTTTTCCGTCCGTCGTCTTACTTATGAAGTCGTCAATGACCTGAAGATTGTCAATGAGAGAAAAACTTCTCGGACGAACAACAAAATTCTTGGTTAGATCTTGAAGTTGACGAGTTCAACCTTAGCAGCCTCCTTTGCGTGGCCAAAGTCCAGAGCTTCTACTTTAGCGCCGTACTTCTTTCTGACAGCTTGCTCATAGTCCTTTTGATTTGGAACTGATTGCTAGAAATTTCTCACCACTAATTAGGACTGATTCTTTCTGGCGGAGAAGAAAGTTTCCGTAAAGAAACTCACTCTAAGAAAAATCCATTAGCTATTCGGCTCTTCACACCATGACTTGCATTCATTATCTGACTGGAGAGCTTTGAATAATGCTCCTCGATGTCGCTGTCTCCTGAACACCACACATTGGGGCTTTAGTATGGTGAAGGAAGCCTTGGACTGACCTTTAGAGATGACGGAATCAATTTGAGATTTCGTAGAGCCTTTCGCACCCGCTCGCACCATCGCCAAAGCGAAAATCACGGAGATTGGCGACACGACTAGTGAGTCGTTGACGGGCGCATTCCGGAGCATATTAAGCCCGAAATCCATTCCAACCGTTGGATACATCTTAAACAAAATGTCTATATGTGACAAACTTATAGTCTTCGTAGGATGCGTGCACTTCGCTAGAGAACAGGCAATGGTGATCCCCACGGGCAGAAGGATGTGTGAAGGTGTGCGGGTTGGAGAGCAGCCAAGGCAGCTTTTCTGCCAGTTGTGAAGGGCCCAGGATGCAGCAAGAATGAGTTAGTAATCGATAATACAAAGGTGGAGGTGTTGGAATGATAATTTATCACGCAAAGAACCCGGGATCAAGTCTCAGGAGGGCTCCTGCTTGACCCAATCAAGCCTTCCAAAGTTCCAGCGCTGATCTTTACATGGGATGTCCCCACAAGTCATTGTGTGACCGAATTCGTTTTCATAACACCATTACGATTCTAAATGGGATGTGGTTTCGGAGCTGTTACGCTTGGGTGGGGGAGCGGTGGCACTTTCCACTTTCGCTACGTTCTTTTACTAACTCCTATTGAGTTACGCGTCTCACCTTGGTAACATCTGCAGACTTTAGTAAGCAGATGTCCCATGCTGCTGCCCATGCTGCTGTATAGCAGATCTTTTCAAATAAATGGGACCCTCCCCCTGGATGAATTTTTTGTTCCCTCACAACCAGTTTCCCAAAATTGACATCATGAGCGGCGAAGTGGGCGGTTCTACACCTACCACAATACCACAGCCTACTGCCAGCAAACATTGACTAGGGCACTGCTATCGAACAATTCAGGCTTGACAAGTTCAAATGGGGTGGTGGCTTTTGCGATCCTCTACAGCGACTAAATCAACCCCTTCCGTCGTAGTTTGGGTATTAGGTCGAGATAGAGTAAACTTGAAGCATCGCTCAGGTACAACAACCGCCATTCCCATAGAACTGTTTCTCTCTCCGTCAGGGCTATGGGCGGGGGCTTGAACTTTACGCTCTAGCCCAGTATTCTCCGCGTTTTGTCTCCTCACACATGGTGAACACCTTAAAACTCCTGCGAAATCTCGAAGTAATACTCGTGGAGCCTCATTATAAACTACTTCGTGACTCAAATAGGGCTCTCTAAGGGATTGGCAGCGTCGATGAGGAAGTACGCAAAAATTGCCAATGCCACCCCTGCCCGCTCCCCGTGCTCACAAACAAACTGCCCGCGCGCGCACCGTGCCCTAATAGAGACCACAGACAAGACGACAGTCTAACATGCAGAAAAGCCACAATCGGCTGCACTTATCACTGAAATCAAGCCTCGATAACTTTACAATAATAACATCGAAAGAAGGAATATTTCAGCGCAATGAAAGCAACCCTGGCTACGCGTTTTTATTCACATTTGCTGCTTGTAACAGCGCTTGACGTGGATATAAAGCAGGCAATGATCAGTATCTCAATACAGCGACATGCAACGATTTCTATCACGGCAGCCGTTACTTCAAATAAATAAGAGAGAAAGACCACACAATTATTAAACTGCCGTTAAACGACATTAGCATTACTACAATTACAAACAGTATCTAGCATTGGTTTAAGACAATGCCAGAGATGTGAAATTTGAAATCCTCCACCAACGACTGCTGAAATGTCGATGGAACAACAAAATGCGATTGTGCTCGTCGAAGCTTGGGCGGTCTATTTCGCCGCAATCTCGAGCGGTTTCGGAGGGTTGAAATCAGGCAACCCCGCTGCGATATACACAATCGCAACCGGGAAAAACACAGCTCGCTCCACGCTTGGTGACACCGCCCCGACCGCTTGCGACGATATCGGCTATATCGCTCCACTACCAATTCCGAACGTCCCCACCACATACCAAGAAGCGCGTTCCTCGCAGGGTACGCCATCGTTGTGATCAACGCAACAGGGGAGGGGGGTCATGTTTGACCTCGAGGGAGGGGGTCGTGAGCGCAGGGACCTTTCTGAAGTGAGGCTGCAGCGAAACCCAGATGTCGTTCAGCTTAAATAATGAAAGTGGATTGAGGATTGAGGCTATCTGCCACACACGATGCATATGATTCCAGAAAGGCAAATCTGCTATATTACCGCTATTTGCTCTGCACCTTAAATGATCTTACTTTTTTTTTCTTATATTGATAGGCAGTACTAGCCGCTGATGTAAATTACCCAGATTTCTCCAAAGCGTTTGGTAAGGTTCTCCATAATAAAGTGCTGCATAAACTTGCGATTGTCGGAAGCCATCGTCGCATCATTTTCTTGAGCTAGGGCTTTTCTCACTGGCTGCTCTTTTATTGTTCGCCTTGACTCGACGTTTCGTAGCCCCCCAGGTTTGGTCTCAGTGGTGTTTCTCCAGGGTGGGGTTCTCTCTGCCAGTTCTTTTAATCTTATACACCAATAGCTGCCGGTAGTACAGCTGCCTAGTATCATTTCGTCTTGTGGTGTGAAGTGTACTGCTTTTGCGGATGATATCAAAATCTATAAACAGATCAAGTCCAAGGATGATTGCGCTCTACTTCAGCGTTCCCTTGATGCTGTTTCTCGGTGGTCCGAAGATTGGTGTCTTCCTCTGTCCAAGGAAAAAACAAAGGTTATGCGTTTCGGGCGCGGATCTCCCTATACAATAAACGCCAGTCAGTACTTTATTGAAGGTTCACCAGTTCATACTGTCACTGAAACCGTTGATCTAGGCTTCTTGCTGACTCCTGATCTTAACTTTGATAGTCAGTGCAAGGTCATAACCTCATTCCGTATATTCAGGGCCCTTACCACCAAAAACCCCTCTGTTCTCCTTCAGGTGTATAAATCCTATGTTAGACCCTTAATCGAATACGGTACCGTAATATTCAATCCACATAGACGCAAGACCATCGACTTGATTGAAAATGTCCAGAATAGCTATACAAGGAAACTCATGATCAGAGTGGTTGGCTTTCTTTATGATGGCATACCTTCTGCCTCTACCAGAAATGCCAACTTTGGCCTCCGGCCTCTCAGTTGGCGTAGAAAAAAGTTTGACTTACTAATGTTTCATAAAATTCTCTACGGTCCTTCTGCTTACACGGCGTAGTACCATTAAACTACTCCTTCATAGGACCAGGCTTAGTTGTCGTTCCAACTTCTTCATCAATCGAGTCTATTCGTGGTTTCTTGAGTTGAGCAAGAAGAAAAGTATTCCACCCAGTCTGTCAGCATTTAAAAAGTACCTCAGGATGGTGTCCTCCCGTTCCACGTTCCGCGTTGTCCTCCCGTTTTGCCGTTCTCGTGAGCGGCGAGTCTGCGCGGCGACTCGTCGTTTCTAAATTTTTGCGCAATCTAGTTGGCGCATGTGGCCAGCGGCAACATTTCGTCATATGCAGCTACAATAACAAACAGCTCAATGTTGCCGCGTAAAAAGTTGATTGTTGGCAAGGCATGAGTCATCGCTGGTTCACGGTGACTCACATCTGAGGTTTGTTCACGACGTTCCTCCAGGGCTTCCTGCAGAGTCTCCAAAAGTATTAGGTCGTTGCAAAAGAAATGCAGGATTTCGTTTTTTTGTATTTAATACTTATTTTATTCCAATAAAATGTAAGTGTTATATATCATTCGAAAGCTTATCTAATGCTCTTTCTAAATGATACTTCAAGATTGGTTGTAATTCGTATTTAAAGGCGTTTTTGCATCTCTTGGTTTTTGAAGCATTCTCTTAAAGACACATGGTACGCTCAAACACATTGAGGGTGTATGAGACTATCAGCCCCCAGCTGTCGATGTGTCGTGGTCCCCGCCCAAAACTGCACGGGGTCAGAGTACGGGGCCGTGGAAAAAGTCGTAATTCCTTGCTACACGCGCCTCAGTTCTTATTGCGTAACACCATCGCGCGGCGCGGTCGAGTGAGCTCTCTTGGCTTTTTTGCCAAGTTATATTGCGATTTGGCTAGTTTAAAGTTACAATGCGATTGCTTTATAGCGTGAGAACATTTTATGTGCTCAAAATAAGAATCGAGATGCATGACAAGGGCTAGATCAAGAGCAGACTGTGGTGGCTTCTGCAATACCTCGGAGGCGCTCATTGCCCACAGAAACGATGCACATAAAGAAGGACAAATTGCAATTTAAAAGATGACAATACAAGCATCACCGCATTTTCTGAAAATTTGAGGTATGCTTCACTGTTCTAAAGTCTCGAATAGAGGTGATGAATGATGACAAGGCTAGAAATTTGGAAACAACAAAGAATGTAGATGTGTAAATAAAACAAAATCGAAAAAGTAAGGAAGCTGGACGGTCGGCGAGCTCGAAGTTTCCGGGCTCTAATGTTATAGAAAATTTCTTCAAAACTAACGAGTGGGAGCTAGGCAGTATTAATTTTTGATGTTTTGTGGATAATTGCGAGCTGCGGGGCTGTTGCAGAAGCCAGAACAATGGCTCTTGGAGTTCTAGCCCTCGTCATCATCTTCAGTTCTTATTTTGCAGCAGAGCCTAAAATGTTATCCGCATAAAGAAATTGCGTTGTACTTGTATTCCAAAGCGCAATTACAGGACTTGGCAAAAAGCCAAGAGAGCTGCACGCGACCGCGCCGCGCGGACGGTGTTATTAGGTTGTCTCGGAAAGTCTCATGCGTTTTTGTGCACTGTTTATAACAAATTACATTCACTGCTGATTAAAACTCATTCTGCCTCGCTTTCAGTAGCACATCCTGTAGAGAATTTCTTGCGCTATCTGATGGTATAATTGCCGTTTCACCATTGCTTGATAAACCCCTTTTTTCAAGATTTTTTCAAGCATGTGAAAAGAGCACTTCGGACGATTTTTTTCTTCGACTATAAATTGGGGCAATCCGCAATCGAAACAGCTCAACAAATTAACCAGGTGTATGGGGGCAATAGCTGCTAGGAAAAGCACTCGTGCGGGCAAATGGCTAACAAAGTTTAGTCTTTTGGAGATTTCAGCCTTGAGGCTGAACTCATAGGGTGCGATCTAAAGACAATATCGACGAGGTCTTTGTTAGGGGATGTTTGGAGGTCTGCATACCCGGACAGGTTCGGAGGGGTTCGAAAAGCTAGACTTTGGCAAAATCACTTGTTGCAGAATGGTT